ACAAGGGGCGTGGGAGCGGACACCAGAGAGCCTGTCAGCTTCGTCAGTGACCCGGGAGGACACGCGTGTGTTGGCTGGACTTCTGCTCTACCGCGAGAGTCTGGCTTTCCTTACTTGGCACAAATCAAAGGGGTGGAAGAAACAGAATTTTAGCTTCTTTCTCCAAAAGAAGCAGTTTCCTCTCCATTATCATTTCAAGTAAGCCCAGGGCAAAGCTTCGAAGATTCCTGCCACCACCTCGGCCCCCATAAATCCCCCCAAAGTCCGTGTGCAGACTGAAAGTCAACGAGGCAGAACGACCAATAAATACCACCATCTACTCCCGACTACGGAATTCAAATGACGACCAGCAATTAGAGTGAGTGGCAGAGACCTCTCTCCGGCCACCCTTCCCAGACTCTGAGCCTTCCAGGCGAAGGCCCCCCCGGCCTGGCCCACGGAAGGCAGGGTCTCTCCAGTGCACGGCCACTCCCTGGCAGGGAGGACAGACTCCGGGGGTGGGGGGCCCTGGACAGGGGCCAGAGCAGAGGAGCGGTCTGGGGGCCAGGGCGGGGGGAGCCGACTGAGAGCTCCAGGTGCTCCCGCCTTCCTCCTGAAGCACTGGGGCAGGGCTGGAGCTGGGGCGGAAACGCCCCCTTCACCCTGGAGCCTCACGGCACGGTTCTCAGCAGGGCCAGCCCTGCAGTGCCCCTCCAAGTGAGAACGGACATGTCCCCCGCCCCCAAAGAGTCAGGGAGTCGGGACAGTGTGGGCAGCCAGAGAGAACCCTGACACCTGTGGTCACTGGCAGCAGCAGACACGTCTGAGTCGGTCAGGAGGCCGGCAGGTGGTGTCCTGGCCCACCAGCTTCTATAAATGAAGTTTTATTGGGGCACAGCCACGCCCACTCACTGCGCCTGGTCCACGCGGCTTTGCCATGGCTGCGGCGGGATCGAGTCCTTGTGACAGACAGTGACCGGCCTGGGCCGGGCCTGACCTCGACCGTACCAGGTCGCACTGGAGAGGAGGCTGTCCCTGTGACCACTGCCCCTGCCCTGACTCCATGTCGGAGGGGTTTAGCAGCTCCCGGCCTCTCCCCACTAGCAGCCAATAGCATGAGAGAGCCGACATACTCAGAATATCCAAATCAGTGAAGTTACTGGTGAAAATGAGAAATGCATCTTTTATTTTAGGGAAAAAATAGACTTTTTGGCCAGCTCCGTACTTAGGTCTATTAATTGCAGAACGACTGATTTGCTAGCAGATTTAAATGTCCCTCCCTTCCTCCCAGGACCCCACAACACTGGCGCAGTTTAAGGTGTAAGAAAGTGAAAGTGTTAGAGAATTAAAAAGTCACACATTCTTAAAAGCCCCCTGTGCTGTGGTACCTGCGGGAACCTTTATGTGTCGTACAGGGTCACCACTGGATGCACAACTATGGTTTTCTGGGGAAGACAGTCGCAACGCTCCGTGGCTGCTCCCTGACCTCTGACCCTGCCCGGCAGGCGGCAGAGGCGGCAGGGAGGCGGCAGGCCGTAACCAGTCATCTGCACGTTTCCGCCACACGGGCCTGCCGCTGAGGTCCTGCCGCTGAGGTCCTGCCGGGCAGACCCACAGACACTGCCGGGGTGGGGGGGGCAGCCAGCCCCCACTGCACTGGCCCCGCCCAGCTGACCCCAGGCACAGCCACACCCTTGGCAGAGGACACATGTCCTTCTGTGACCAAGGTGGGTGTTGCTGCTGAAGGCCTTGCTCAGCCATCAGCAGACGGGTGGCTGACTCTCAACCTTCAAAGGGCTGAGCCCCTGCACTTGGCGGACACCCTGGCCCTGAGAGACCAACTTCAGGGTGGTGGGGGTCCCGGGAACACACAGGGCAAAACGACCCCTTCATAAGAATGTCACTAGTTGGCCTTAAAAAAAAAAAGCTACTTAGGAAAACTACCAGCAGGACATCCAGCAGAAAGTCAAACACTGTCTTCTGAGGGGGTAACTGGGGTGACTGAACAACTGTTCCTGCTCTTTAGAGCAGAAAGAACCTTTTATAAGTTTCCCAACTGCCGACCTTTACTGTCCTGCAGGGAAAGTCACAGGCACTAAACTTAGCTAAAGTCATAAAAACCCAATAATGAAACACGAGGAAAGAGAGGAAGAGTGGTTTATAATGAAGCGTGTTTCACTTATAAGCGGTGGAGCCCGCCAGGCTGCCAGGTGCCGGCCACCCTGGGGCAGAGGCGCCTCCGGCCTGGGGCTGGGCGGCTGCCACCCGAGGGCCCTGCGTCGGGCCCAGTGATCCGGGCGGCTTTCCCACAGCGGCCTGGCGGTGGGGCTGCCAGGAAACGCGAATTTACACCAAAACCGAGTTTGGCTTCAAACTCAGGAAACAGAGCAGTTCCACAAGGCTGTCCAGGGAGCCAGTCCTGCCACAGGACAGGCGGGCCGAGTGGGGCGCAGGGGACACGTGGCATCTCGCCGGTCACCGTGGCCCTCACGGGACCCCAGGGGTTTGACAGCTTCCACCTGAAAGGCCCCACCGTGAGCCAGGGCGCGGTGTTCTCCGACGCCACAGTCCCCACAACCAGAGGTTGCAGGGGTTCCTGTGTCCTCCCAGCAGCGGGGCCAGAGGCTCCAGCACGTCCCGGGCGGCTGACGCGCCCTCCGCTGCCCGGATGCCCCGCGGGTGCGAGCAGAGCCCAGGCAAGCCCAGACGGCCCTCCTGCGCCGCCGTCTGACAAAGACTCCTGACGGAGCAGCAGAATGGGACGCAGCTCCCGGGGTCCCCTGGGAGTGATGTGAGCACTGATGCCCGCATCTCCCTGGTGACAGCAAGGCCTAAAATTAATCACAGCCTTAAAAGGAAGATGCTGAGGAGCGGCTCTGAGACCGCCTGGGAGCAGCCTGGGGAGAGGAAGGCTCCGTCTCCGGCGTGTGGAGGAGGGGCACGTGGGGCCGCCCTCTGAGGCCTCCTCCCTCCCACCGGCCCCTCTGTGAGCTGTGCCTGCCAGCACCCGAGCCCGAGGGACAGTCCGGTCGAGAGATCTGCCCCCATGAGCATCAGGGTGTCGTCACCTGCCCGAGACGCCTATGACGGCCCCTTTCTGGGACACTCGGGCGAAGAAGACAAAGGGGCCGGGGAAGGAACATGGGTCTTGCTACCCCCTCACTGTCGGACCGAAGAGGCTTTGAAAAAAGACTGTGGCTCTTGCAGGGGATTCGTGAGAGGGAGGGTTTCACTGTCTCGCAGCAGCTCCCCTCCCTTCCCCTCCCTTCCCCTCCCTTCCCCTCCCGCGTCTTTACGCTCAGCCCCACGGTGGCTGGGTGGCTGCGCAGGGCGGCCGGCGGACATTCCTTACCATATTAGGTAGTGGGCCCAAGAGGGAGGCTCACAGCCCTGGGATTTTACCTAAAAGGACGAGGCTGGCACCTCCCACAGAGAAAGGGGCTTCACGAGGTTATGCAACGAGGTTAAGACACTGCTGGAGAGCAAGCGAACGGCCAGAAGCAAAGCCGTGAAAAACTGGGACGAGAGAAATGGGGCTTTCTGGGTTGGGGGGGGAACTCGGGGAGAAGCAGGGTGGGTCCCAGAGATGTCGGCAGGTGGGGGGTCCTGTGTGCAAGGCTGGCCTGCAGGGACCGGAAAACAGCAGGTGCTCCCAGGGCCCCGAGCAAGTGGGGGACCCCGGCCCGTCCCCGCCCTGCCCCCACTCCACAGCCCCCTGGGGCACTCCCTTCCCCAGACCCCGCAGGCCCGTGTCCGGGACACGGATACACATATCAGGGCCAGCCCCCCGCCCCCCCGCCAACCCGCCAGGTGGTGTGTCCTCTGAGGGGAACTAACGAGTGACATCACAGCACGTGGCCGAAGGTCAGCAGAAGCCTCACCCCCCCACCCAGACTTGGGGGCCTGTGGACCTGGTGACTTTTCAATGGACTCAGCCATGGCTGGCTTACGACGCTCAGGGGTCAGACCGGGCGGCGTCCCATCCACACACGAGTGCGCCTGCTCTCGTGCCCATCCCAGCGGGACGCCACCTGAGCACGAGACAGACCGCAGGTTCACCTCACAGGCGTGCGTCAGCCACAGACACACAGCTGTAGCCCAGAAGCACTCACCTCCCCAGGCCTCTGTGCTTGGCTGGGGCCTCGTCCCGTGCACACCCCAAGGGAGCGCCTGACCCCCTGACAGGAGGCTGGGGTGTCCCTGGGCCTGCAGCCCCTTCCCTGTGAAGGGAGGTTCCTCGACCAAGTTGTCCCCAAACTCCCCAAACCCAGGAGGCACTACCTCGACTGGGTTCTCGACAGGCCCTTTGGCACAGAGCAAGCTGCCTGGTCCGAAAGGTCACAGTGTCCCCTGGGGGCCCCTGGGCCCTGCAGCGGTGATACAGGCCTGCTGCGGGGCAGCAGGGGGGAGGCAGGACGTGGACGGAAGACCCGACGGCCTCCCCTGGGCTGCCTGCCTGTGCAGGTGGACAGCGCAGGAAACCAGCGTGGTCCTGGACAGGACGGAATGCGCCCCAGGTGCGGGCTCGGCTTCTCCCTCAGCAGCAAGACGGTGGGTACAGACAACTCCCTGCACTGTGTGCTTAAGTCAAGTCTCCCCTGAATCACAGCTTCTTGGGGTCCCCGCCCCCCGGAAGCACCGGCGGCCTGTGCTCTGCCGCACACCCGAAGGCGCACCGCAGGGCTGCCCCAGCGCACAAAGCCTGCACCCAAGTGCTGGCCCGGTGCCCCCCGCAGGCGCCCAGGGAGACGAGGCGAACCTCAGCGGCGCCCACAGTGTCGGTCTGCACCCCTTCCAAGCACGTCCCACAGCTGCTGACACTGTCACCAGAGGACTGGAGACAGACGGGCCCTCCAGCTGTGCGGGGGCAGGCGGGGCACAGGAAACGCGGGAGACCCTTTGGGGGCGTGGGCAGTGCCCAGCGGGCCCACCCGGCCCACGGCCCAGGTCCTCGCAGGCCTGCCCTCCGCCCATCAGCAAGAGCGCCCAGGAGGGACCCGCCGCGCTGGCCTGTCACTCACCCACGCTTCCTTCACCTCCTCAGAGACATCGGCTTCATCTTCCTGGGAGGGAAGGAGGAAGAGGAGGGGCACGGTCACAGGCGCACTGCGGCTGCAGGGTCTGCCGCCAGGGCCGCGCCCTGGCCACCGAGCGGCCCAGAGCCGCCGACCCCAACAGCCGCAGGCCCCGTCACAGCACCGATGGCGCCCGGCGGGGGGGACCTCTAAGACGACAGACCATACCCCGCCTGCGCCCAGTCTCCTTGGTCCTGCGCCACGACTGGCGTGTCTAGAGCTCATTTGGACAGCTGGCAGTCACTGTCCCTTCTCTCTCCCCAAATGGCTCATCTGATGTCACAGGAGTTGGGGGAAGCAGGGATCTGCTGTGTAAAGTGCCAGTGCTGCGGTGGGTGAGAGGGCAGAGCCCCAGGGCGACTCGGGCCCCGGGCGTGTCCGCGGCTGTGGGCGCAGATGGGCTGGCCTCGGCAGCACAGCCCGGCCAGTTCTGGGTTGGTCCTCCCCTCCCTCCCTTTTCCTGCAAAGAGCAGGGTGGGGTCGGAGGGACCCCAGAAGTCACTCCTTCCTATGGTGCCCGAAGTCCTCCCTTCTCATCTTGGCTAGTGCAGGGCCCTTGGCTCATGTCCCGGGACGTGAGGAAGGGTGGCTGCATGTGAGGCTGTAAAAGGTGGCTTTTCACTCCTCACCGTCGGCCCTGGACCCCTGCCGTGCGCCTCAGTAGGGTACGAGTCCCACACCAGCCCCTCACCCGCCTCCCTCTCCTGAGGATCTGTCCTGACCCTCGCCCCCTCTGCCCCCTCTGCCCCCTGTGGGGCTGTCTGAGCTCGGCACGGAGGCGGCGCCTGCACGTCCACTCACGTCCTTGGTCCAGAAGTTGATGCCTGTGCCTCTCCGCCGCTCCCTGAGCCGCCTCCTCTCACGGACGGACAGCCCGCCAGTGGAGGGGTCGTCCACACCTGCTTCTTCGGCCTCTGGTCAGAGAGAAAGCCTGCGTGAGCACGGGAACCGGGGAGTGTGCACCGGGAGGGCTGAGTTGCCAGGAGCTCTACGCACCATTCGTGTCCGCCTCCTTTGTCCCCAGACGCTCCAAGTTGGGGGCCGAGGGTCTGCCAGTCCGCAGCAGGTAGGAGCTAGTGTAGAGGGAGGGCCCTGAGGCGGGCGGGGACACGGCGGTTGTGGGCTCGTCGGGCTGGACTACAGCCCTCGGGCGACCAGGTGCAGGCTGCAGAGGACCCACAGGGTGAGAAGGAGAGGTCACACGCAACAAAAGCATTCACGTGCAGGCTGATCGAAAATGGGCTTCTTTCACACCAAGAGGATGGCCAGTGGCAGACGCGCCGCACGCAGCCGCTGAGCCGGCCCAAGCCAACCAGCCAGGAAGGAGACGCCCCCAGGCTCCCATTCTGCTGACACCAGGCGAGGCTACTCCATCGTCCCGGGGTACCGGGCAGCGCCAACCTCTGATGAAAACCCCTCCGGGTTTGGAACAAAAGTAGGAAGAGCGGTGACTCTTTGGGGCGAAGCTTGGCTGTTGCCTGAGAACAGACCCCACTGGCCCCGCCAGGGCGCCGTGCGCCCCCGGGGCGAGAGGACGGAGCCCGGCAGGCAGCCTCGGCTGGGCTCACCAAGACGGGGAGAGCGGCACCCCTGCTGCACTGGAGACCGCGTGCCGCTCTGTGAGTTATGGAGCCAGAAGCGACGAAACAGGGCGCTCTGGAGCCAGGCAGAACGTGGCCTGCACTCCCGCGCCACCACGGGCTGGCTGTGTTGCCCGAAGGAGCTCCCCAGTCCCTGACCTGCAGCGTCCTCGCAGGCCGCGCAGGGGCCCTGCCTCTCAGAGGGGCTGTGGGGGTTTGAGGAGACCAGTGCGGAGCTGCTGGGAGCAGAGGCCGGAAGCAGGCGCGTCGCAGAGGGCGGCTACTGAAGGGGCCGCCCCGCCGCGGTCTCAGCAGCCTGGCCGTCCGAGTCTGTGCAGGACACGAGGTGGCCTCCCCCACAACCGCACGGACCCTGCGAGACCACTGTGTGGCCGGGACACTTCTGAGAGCAAAGGAAGGGGACTGATAACAGCAGGGGGAGACGACGGGTGTGCAAGCGTGACGGCCGTCGGTGCCCACCAAACCTGGCCCCTCCCTGACCACGCAGTCCACGGCTGTCCACCACACCCGTGCGTGCTCAGGGCTGAGGCTGCTTCAGAAGCTCCGTGGTTTGTCAGCACCTGGACGTGGGCTGTGGGGCCCGGCGCCCGCAGCCAGACCCTCGTTTAACACGTCTGTGCGTGACGTGCGGGCTCTGTCTCGGCCTCCCCACGGTCACGAGCCCCTGGGAGAGCTGCCGCCAGAGTTCGTCACGTCAGCAGGTCTGCAGCAGGGCAGACGGTGCCGGGTACACTGACGAAGGCACGTTTCCGCCTGCACTGACTGCGCTGGACTGTGACCGCTCGTCAGCTGGGACACCTGTTCCTTAGTGGAGCGACTGCATCGGGTCAGACGCAGGTGACGGGACTTGCCGTGGTGATCACGGCCCAGTGTGGACGTGCACAGAACCACCACGCTGCGCACCTGAAGCTAACGCAGCACTGCCATCACGGCTCAGTGCACCTGGAGAACACCAGTCAACGCCAGGGGACAGAGCGACCCCTTCCTGCCCCCTGCGCAGCCCCCCACCCTGCCAGTTAACACAGCTGGCGATGCACCATGAGCTAAGCAGCGGACACACACGCCGAGGGCCAGGAGCAGAGCACCCCCAGCCGGCTGGCACAGCTGGGGCAGAGGCGGCTCACCTCTTCCTGCAGATCCCGGCCTGAGGGCTGGCGGCCCTGCCCGGCGTCCTCTGTGGTGGCCGTGGCCAGCAGAGGCGTCTCAGCTTGGCCCTCCGGCCCCTCGGTGCCCACGGGCTTCTGGCCGGGCTGGTCCTGGGCCTGCCGCTCGGCCCGTGACCGGCTGAAGGTCCGCTCTGCCTCCTGCAGGTCCGTGAGCGTCACCCCCTGGGGGACACTGCAGGTCAGGGGGCTGTGCCCAATCCCCCGAGATCTAATACACATCCAAGTCCAGGTGGAGCGGTCGAAACCGGGCCGCCCATCGGGCGCCGCCCCCCTTCCCCAGCTCCCCATTTATTACTGAATGGGACCCGTGAGGCATAAGCCCCCCCCCAGTGTAGGATCCAGCGGTTCCGGGCTTATTCCATCACCCCAACCCAACGTCAGAACGCTCAAGCTCCAAAAGGAGCCCCACCCTGTGAGTGGCCCCCGCCACCTGGAGCCCCTGCCCCCACAGGCCCCTCTGCAGCCAGTTTCCCAGGATCCGCCTGCACGTGGGGTCAGGCCTGGCTCCCTCCTGCGTCTGACCCGTCTGTCACTCTGCCCCCGCTCAGGTTCACCCCCGTGCCCACAGCACTGGCGAGGGTCAGAGCCTGGCTCCTTCTCACAGCCAAGTGTCGGCACTCGTTTCATCAGCCCCCAAGGAGTGAGGCCGGGGGTGGTCCCAGGGCAGGGAGGGGCAAAAGGGCACAAAGGGCGGCCGCACCCACCTGCGTGGACCGGCGGGTCTGCCGAGCTTGCCTGGAGCGCGCTTTCCGCAGAGACTCCGCCTCCTCGTCCCGGACGGGCGTCAGGTAGGACCTGCGGGGCAGGAGACGTGAGCCTTGGTCCGAGCCCTGGTGACTCCCGCCGCTGAGGAGGTGGGAGTCGGACCACAGGGTGGCACTGAGTCCCTGGATCAGCTGAGCCTGGTTTCCTTCTACACAAATCGGTGTCTGTAGTTCGGGTTCCCCGTCGTGCTCCTGTGGGACACTGGCTGCGGTGACGCTGTAGGGCCCCGGCCGGGTCTGGGCAGGGAGGTCACGGTGTCAAGGAGAGTCTCCTCCCTGTCTGTCTCCCGCAGGCGAGAATTTGTGTAAAGCAGTTTCTTCCCCTGAAACAATGGGAAGTTCACCCACCAGCCACTTGGGTTCATGATGCTCTTTATCGGAAGGTTTGAAAAAGAATTCAATTTCTTTAATTGTTTAGGCCTATAATTTCCATTTTGGTGACCTGATCAAAAAATGGGCAGAGCATCTCCACAGACATCCTCCCAAAGAGGACGCACCGGTGGCCACCAGGTGCGTGTGAAGGTGCCACGCGTCACCACCACTGGGGGGAAACACAAGGCAGGACCACGACGAGCCATCACGCCCGACGGAGGGCGGTTCCCAAAGACAAGAAGCGACGCGTGCTAATGCTCGAGGGGACGCAGGAGAAAGGCAGCCCCTGTGCGCTGTGGGCGGGGCCGGTCGCTGGCGCGGCCCCCGCGGAGAGCAGTGTGCGATCCCTGCGAGCGGCGAGAACGGAACCACGAGGGGACCCGGCCGTCCCTCGTCGGGGCGCGTCCTCCACGCCGCAGCAGCCACTGCACCCCGCGTTCCCCGCAGCATCACACACGGCGGCCAAGACGCGGGGGCCCCCTAAGTGCCCACGGACGGGGAGCGGGCGAAGGACGTGTGGCGTGTTCACGCGCTGGAACACACTGAGCCGCAGAGGAGGGAAGCCTGCCGTCTGCACCAGCACGAGTGCGCACCTGCAGGGCGCTGGCTGGGCGAGGTCGGTCAGAGAGACAGGCAGTGGTACGGTCAGACTCACACACAGGACCCAGAGGAACCTCTGCCCCCTCGACGCCGCCAGCTCCGAGGACAGACGGGACCTCCCTGCGCAGGCCTGCACAGCGGCAAGGTGGCCAAGGACGCGTGGGAGAGGGCGAGAGAGGCGCGTGGCTGCAGGGGAGGACGAGGCCTCAGCACCGCTGCCCAGGAACCGGTGCACTCGGTGCCGGGGTCGCCACTGCCCATCGACGCCCTTGTCCCGAGGGGCGGGGGGTGCCCTCCTGCACGGGGACCGTGCACGTCGTCTGTCCTCAGGCGACTCTCCTGCTGCCCTGTCCCGGTGGGCCGTGGACCCTCTGTGGCCAAGGGGCTCACGTCCGCCGTGGTGATGGGGAAGGGTCAGGAAGGCACACTGTGGGCAGGCACAGGGGCAGCTTCCACAAAGCCACCAGGTGACATGCCCCCGGGGGCTCTGGCCCAGGACAAGTGTCCACCACGTCAATACCCTCGCCCGCTTGTGCCTCCCGCACTTGTCCTCGCACACCTGCCCCTCGTTCTATGCCCAGGGGGGCGTCTGGTGGCCTCCACTTGGAGGCTGCTGCCCCCAGTGCCCTGCTGCCTGTCTGCCCAGCTCTGGAGACACCACCGAGCACCGAAATGGCAGCTGAGGCTCAGGGCCTGCCTGAGAGGCCTACTGTGCGCCTGGCCGATCTCAGAGGCCTTGCCCAGCCTCTCCCTCCTGGGACACCCGGCCGAAGAGACACATCACCTGCCTCGCAGCCTGGGCGCTTTATGTCTTGAGCTACGGCTCTTGTGGGAAGGAGAGCCCCGGGCCAGCCCGCAGGGCCTCCAAGCCAGGGACACCTGTGCCCTGTCTGGGAGCCCTCCCCCGGAGTGTGGCTCTCCTGTGGACGTCCCTGTGCTGCCACCTGCTGGGCACCGCACGTAAGACACCCCCATGGCCTGCCACGTGCCCGGCTCTGCGATGGAAGGAACCCCGACAGGAAGCCCCGGGGCCGCGCTGGTTAACTGACCACGCGTTCTGAGATCCGACCTGCAGAGGGTGAGTGCCCAGGGCGGCTGGCACTGGGGGGCCGGGCCATCTGGGAAGCAGGCTCTGCACTCAAGGGGCACGGGTGCCTGTGGTTGGGCCACCAGCTGGGTGCACCGCGCCGGGAACGGCGAGGACGAGGTCAACCGCACACCCACATGGGCTCTGGGACGGTCCCGCCCAACTCCACAGTTGTGCGTTTCATCTGGACACTTGCCCTCCGTGCCTCCAAAGCCAGTCAGGAGACATCTCGGCCACATGTGCAGAACGGGCACTTCCACCCAGAGGCCACCTGACACGCAGGGGCAGCACTGACCGCTTAGGCCACACTGGGCACCACACATCCCCGGTGACCCCTGTTCACCGGCCCCTCTGCGATGGCCCACATGCACACCCGCCTGCCGCACAGCCAGGCCCAGGCGGTCTTTCAGTCCCCCTACCCCTGGAGCGCGGTGACCCAGTATCCTGGGCCTCCGGTGTCCACAACCCCAAGGAGAGCAGTGGGGGCCACTGCCACAGCAGGTCACCCCAGCGGAGGTCAGGCTGGCAGCACACCTGCGCAGCAGCTTGCCCGGAGCCCGGGGGCCAGCAACTAGGTGGCTGCCCTGGCTGTGCTCCCCCAGGGGACACCAGAGCCCACTTTGGGGGCCACTATGGGCAACCATTTTCCAAGTTGGGAAAAGCAGCTCGCAGGAGACAGGGCACAAGGTCCCTTGACGCTCAGGAGAAAGAACCCCGGTCGGGAGGAGAGGAAGGCGGTGAGGACACCGAGGGGCAGGCGTTGGGACTGTCCCCACTCCTGAGTGTGAACTGTTGTGCCGAGGACCCATGTGACAGAGGCCACTGTTCCGGGAAACTGAGTTTGTGTCACAACAGCCGTGCTAGTGAGAAAGGCCGGGAAAGGCGATGGGCTTGCACTGCAGACCGAAGCCTCACCGCAGAGGCCTCGCCCAGCCTCTCCCCCTGGGGCGACCGGCAGGAGCCATGCTTCCTCCCGCCCGTCACTGGTGGTCTTGCAGACCATGCAGGGGAGCCGGAAGGTGGTTTCCTAGTGCACACACTTGTCACACAGCTGCCGACGGGGCGCGCTCTCCCCCAGGGACGAGCCGTGTGCATCGGCAGCACTCCACCGCCGCGTCCAGACACAGGCCCGCAGGGCACTGCCACCGGCTCCACAGGACGTCACTGCGGAACCATCATCGCACTGTGGCCCGGCCCCCACGGGCTGGTCACCTCCTGGACTCAGGGAAGTGCATTTCGTCCCAGCGAGCCGGTGGCAGTGTGGCTGCAGTCACGCGGGTGCACAGAGGGTGGCGGCACCTCGGTGACTGGAGTCAGTGTGTGGAGGACATGCCCTGGGAGTCAGTACCAGGACTGTGCGGGTGAGCGGCCAGGCTGCACCACAGGGGACGCGCCATCTGTGCCGGCCCCTTGAGCCACTGGGGCTGCAGGCTGGGGCCCCTCCCGGCTCGGTCTGCAGGTCGCGGGGAGACCGGGGAAAGTGCCACAGGACACACTCACAGTGCTCGGACCTGCCCGGCGGGAGGACCCTCTTTCCCGGAGCCCTTCCCAGGCTGATAACAGCCCGTCCTGAGCCTGCCCACAGACGGGTGAGTCAAATGGCTTTTAGAAACCATGACTCAGAGTCCGGCTGCTCGGTTTACATTTCCAGCCTCCCGAGGAGGAGGCCAAGTTAATCCGGGACAGCGTCACCCGAGCAGGAATAACCCTGTGGCTCATGGGGACCCCCAGGGACTCGGCCAGGACTGACCATGTCCTGACCCAGCAAAGCAGAGCTGAACTTGGGCTGTTTTGGGAGAGCAACCATTTTTAGTTTCTTGTGCTGAAAAGCCGCTGTAGCCACTTCCATAACAAAGAAAGGGCGCCTGTAAGAAGGAAGCCATAAAATGAAGGGCAGGGGCTGGGCGAGCGGAACCAGCCGTGGAGGGCAGAGCGGGACGCGAGGACGCCTCTCTCTGAGGCTAATATTAGCCCTGGGGCTGTTTCCACTTGGTTGCTAAGGAAAACTCAGAGCTTTGGAAACCCAGCCCAACCCCCACTGTCCCCACTGTGTGCCGCTGGCTGCAGGAGGCCCGTCTCCCTGACAGCTCCCTGCTGACCGCTGCCCCTCAGTTGGCCAAGCCCATGGGTCTCTGGTGCCTGGAGCTGGGGACCCTCACACCGGGCTGCCAAACCCAGCCCTGCATCCCCATCTCAAAGAAGGGGTTGCATGGGCTCCATGAGGAGGGAGAAGAGGGGTGGGGTGCGCCCCCTCCCCACCAACCGTGCTGTGGCAGGCAGCCCATTCTGCCATGCTCTCAGGACTCACGTTCCCCTGCCCCCCCCCCCAAGTGTGACGAGGATGCATTTGCGTGCACTCAAGCTTTGCAGGATGAAAAAAGGAACTTTGCAAACCCAAGATCGTGCCCTTCTTAGGACAGGTGGCTGTTTTAGAAGCCCCGCCCCCAGCTCGTGCAGCAAAATCGTAAGTTACCTACAACCCTGCACACCTCAGACCTGGACTCTGTGCGCACCTCAGTGCTGACGGCCACCCTCACCGCCTGACCCACATCAAGGACCGCCGTCCCTGAGGTGAAGGTTTTCCAAGCCGCGCACACTCCCTGGTTTCTCGCTGGGTGTCCCCGAGCATCCTTTTGCACCCCGCTGTGACCATTCGGCCCCGTGGCTGTAGGCAACCTCCCCAGTAAAGAGCAAGGTGTGAGGTGGAGACTGGTGGTCGGCCACCAGGTGAGCACATCCACCAGGCCCCGCTCAGAGCTCGTGCCTCGGAGAAGAAAGGCAGCCCTGTGGGGCCCACAGCCCACGAGCTCCTGGTGACTGCAGAGAGCTGGACTCGGAGACAGTGGGTCCACAGGCCGGGCTCGGCTGGTTTGGGGGCCCCACTGGTCCCATGGTCGCTAATGGCTTCCAGGAGACCCGGGAACGCTGCCGTGCCCCTCCCCCTGCTGTCGTGGGGTCCCATCAGGAGAGCAGCAGCCTCAGGAGGAGAATCTGCACCCAGCAGCCTCTTTTAGAAGGAAAATTTAGCTGTTTTCACACACAGTTTTTCCTGTCAGCGCATGTTTGTCTGAAGAGAGAAACTAAACGGCTTTAACTGTGCAGCTGTGCAAAGGATGTTTTATCTGGTCAACTCATTCAGCAGCCAACATGCCCAAGGGCCTTCCCCGGCCCAGGGAGCAGTCTGCCCCACACAGCCCTGGTCTCCGTGTCTGTGAGAGAGACCGCAGTCACGGGTAAACTCTAGTCACGCCTCGATCTGACCCTCCCCTCCTGCGGGCTGCCCCTCGGGCCGTAAGTGCGTCCCGGCTGCAGCTGGGGCCTCGGTGAACGGGTGCGGCCAGAAGAAAACATGCAGGACACGAGCCACATCCATGGCAGGGACACCCCGTGGGCCGCGGGCCACAAAGTCCCAGGAGAAACAACCCACCCTGGCGGCCTCTCCAGGGATCGGTCCCGTGTGGTGGGGCCGCGCTGCCTGTTCTTCCAGGACCGTGGCCTGAGGAACGGACTCCGCCCCTTTTACTCGCACATCTCAGAAGGGTTTTCTCGGCTGCTGAGAGACAGCTCTCAGTTCACAGAGGCCGTCTCAGCTATGTTGGAGCAGAGTGCTGCACCCCGGGACCGGCCCGGTGAGCCTCCCCGGGCAGGCAGCCCCCGGCAGGTCACAGCGGCCAGCTCTACAATCAATCTGTTGGCCCAGGAGTGGAGTTTCTTCACTTTTTATGTAAAGAAATGTAAAGGAGGGAGGGAGGGGGGGAGGGAGGGGAAAACACTGTTTTCTCAACTCAACATCATCTCTCGTTTCTTCTGAGTTAGGTTGTTTTGTGCAATAAACATTTAAAACCTTCTGCTTATTGTATCTTGTAGGTAAGGTTCTCTGACTTACTGAGCGTAAATACACACTCACAAAATAAAGTCTTCCTCTAGGTATTCAGAATCAAGTAAAGTCAAACTTCGATCGCGTTTTTATTGAGTTCGCCTCCTTCTTGCATCTGAGAAGAGGGGGCCCCGCCCGCCCCCGTCTTTGGAGGGTCTGACGCCCCGGGCAGGCGCCCTCTGTGCGCCTCACCCCGTCCAGGGCGAGAGGCGGCCCCTTCCCCTTCGCCACGTCCCCCCGGGTCTCTGAACCCCACGCCAAAGACCTCCTCTCGGCTTCCACCCGGAATCTCTCCTGTGTCCATTCCTCTCTGGAGCAGACACCACAAAACCGAACGTGTCCCACAGTCACTGTCCTGCTACCACCGTGCTGTCATCGAGTCTTCACTTCCTGTCCTGGGGTCCCTCCCGCAGTAATGAAAACTCCACATCCCTGCTCCATTTCTCTGAGCCCTTTATGCCATCACTGCCTTCCTTTGCTGCCAGTCATCATGGACGACCCAGGGCACCGCAGATGGTCCTTCTCCGTGTCTGGGTCTCCACCACGAGGGAGGGGACACGCCTGACCGTGACCCCATCAGACACACAGAGACGAGCCAGCCTCTCTCCATGACAGAACAGGCACCTGCACTCAGTAACCAGAAATGACCGCGACCTCCACTGGCAATCTCCCCAAGGCAGAACCCGGACCCCGAAGTGTGCGATGCGAGTCTGTTCTCAAAGCAGCATCTGAGACGGGGGGGCTTCCCACCCGCCTGGTGCCCCCACCTCACAGGACCCCGGACGAAACCGCCGCACGACCCACCTCCGCTGGTCCCTGGCTCCCGCGGAGGAGTCCAAGCCGGGTGTGGACAGCAGAGTGGCCGCTGAGACCCCATTGGCAGGGCCAGGCAGGGGGCGGTTGGTGACCACACACAGTGGGGTGTTCGACGAGACAGAGTCTGTCTTCTCTGCAGGGGAATCAGCCGGGGGCTTGCTGGGGGTCCTGAAAGCAGAGAGGACAGGCACAGAGGACGCGTTCAGGCCGGCGCCCCGCAGAGCACAGAGACCGGGTGTTCGAGACGGGCCGAGCCAGAGACTCTGCTCACTCGGATGGTCGTCGGCCGGCTCTGTAAGTCCTGAGCTCCTACACCTTAGAACAGAGTGGTTACATGTCCACATGTCCACCCGACATCCTCCGCCTCAGGAGTGACATTTTATACAACTTGTTTTGCTTCACATTAAAAGTTAAAGTATTAGCTAAGGTACCAGGCAAGACAATGACACACGCCAGAGGGTGTCTGCACTCCCGAGTGGCCCCCAGCCCCGGCTGCACACGCCCACACCCAAGAACGAGGCTGCCGTCACGGCTGGGTCTCCTCCGCCTGCCCGCGTCCTTGGCAGTGCGGCCATGGCCGTGCTCGGCCTGGATGGAGACTTGCCCCTCGGACTGTGCAGAGATACCGGCTAAGCTCTGCGAGCCCGGCAGTCAGCCCCGTCCTCCGCCTAGCCGTGGTGCCCTCCACTCAGCCAGACACCCAGCGGTCTGTGTCCCCGACGCGCGGGCTGCACGTGTGGCCTCCGCCACGGGCTCTCCAGCAGCAGGGCCTGTGGGTGCTCACAGCGGCTGGCACGACGAGGGGGCCGACCCTGGGCTCTGCCCCCCACCCTGTCCCCCGCTCTCCCGGCCCAAGTCACAGGTCCAACAGCAACTCCCGCCGAGGCAGGGCCAGCAAGGGCCACCAGGACGCCACAAACCTGGGTGTTTTCCCCTCCGCACCACGATGGAGGACGCTCCACAAGCTTTCCAACAACTGCATCGGAACAAGCCGCACACAAACCGGCAGACCCTGGGAGTCTACACACGGCACCTGACGCAGAAACAGGTGCAGACGCAGAAACAGCAGCCCGGGAGCAGTGTCGAAAGGACAGAAGGTGAAACTTTCTGTCTCTCTTTAATTGAAAAGACCAAAACAAACGATTCCGCAGACTTCAAATGTGCACAGGAAATACTAATAAAATTAGCCAGAACCAGGGCTATAAAAAGGTTACTTGTCAGCACCTCACCTGAAGCTCCTTCCGGGCTGATGACACGTCTCGGTCTGTGTGCAGGGGAGTTTCATCTCGCCAAACCACGGGGCGGGGCCTGGGCCGCGAGTGTGCCCCTCACAGCGAGTGTGAGGGGAAGCTCTAGAGCGCAGGCCAGAGGCTGTGGGGCCCCCTGGGGCTGCCTTTCAGCCGCCTTAACCTCTCTGACCCTCACTGGTGAAGTGGGGACGATGGGCCTGGCCGGTGTGGCTCAGTCAGCTGGAGCGAAAGGCTGCGGGCTTGGCGGCTGTTGGGGTGCCTCTGAGAAGGCCCCGAGACACCTGCTGAGCTGACAAGTGGGAGGCACTCACTGGTCAGTGTTTCCCTCCCTACTCAGTAAAAGCAACGGGGAAAAGTGCCCCTGAGTGAGGGCAGCTGTGTGCGCACGTACGCATGAGGGCCACGTGGGCAGTGTGCTCGCAGGGCAGGTCCCGTGCTGACTCAGCAGAGCAGCCCACCCACGGCGCTCGGCCCGTGGCCCCGAGCAGACCTGTAGGAGCAACGTGAGCAGCAGGCACGAGCCACGAAACGCACGGCCCAGGCCTGGCTCCTGCCCCAGCCCCACCTGCCGGGCAACCCTGGCGTCTCCGCTTCCTCACCGATGGCGTGAGGGTGGCATGTCACACACAGGACAGCTCCCTGTGAGATGCTGACATGTGTGCCTGCGGCAGCCAGCTACCTAACCCATATTCCTTCTTTTGTTCTTCCTTAGTAACAGAACCATTGTATTACTGAGAGCAGCAACGTACTTGGTTGAAAATCCACATTTTCCAAGGTCTCCCCGGCTGACAAAGGTAGCCAGTGACACAGAAGCAGAAAATAGTGCTTTGGGGAACATTCTCAGAGGCATCCTTCTTTGCACATTCCCCCCTTTCTTCCTGTTTCCTGTCTAGGAAGGCAGCCACGACAGCTGGTGCTCTGGCAGCTATTTTGGACCACAAGGCAACCAATGGAAACAACCCAAGCGCTATGATGTGAAAAGGAGGAGCCTGGATCCTTTGGGACTGTGGAGCTGTGGGCCAGCCCTGCTTATTTCTAGACTTTCCTGAGAAAAGGAAATAAACACTTTTGTCACATGCAGGCCATCACTACTTGAACTTGCTACACCGTGTGAGCAGAACGGATGCCTGTGTGGTTTCTGGGTGGGTCCTGACCCAACGCTCGGCGCCCGGCGGAGGCAGCGGTTGCTCCCCCAGGCCCGGGTCTGCACGGTCGGCCCGGGGGCCTCCCGAAGCATCGGTTCCCCCTTGATGGGGATACCGTTTCCCTGCCCGTGCAGGTGTGTCGCTGTGACAACCCTACACCTTTCTGCGTCGTCACGCAAGCTTTTGTGAATGGGCCGTTGTTTGCCTGCCCCTCTGGCCAAATGAATGGCCACCACTGGTTTTCGGCACAGAAGCTGGAAACGGAGAACGATCTTCAAGTGCCACCGTCAGTGTTTTGGCGGCAGCGCCATCACTGACATTCTTGTTTTCTCTGTGTCAGAAACAGGACCCCGAGAGGAGTCCCTGTGTCCACAACCACGAGGAAAAAGGTGTCTGCCACACACAGAGCCCCACTGAAACCATGGCAGCACCCTCTGTGCCTCCCTCAGGACATGTCCGCCCCCAGGAAGACGCGTCCCTGCCACACGGGGTTCGGACCAACACAAGCCCCTCCCTTCCTGCGGCGAGTCCAGCAAAACACTCCGTGGCTGGGGGTTTCCAGGAGGCTGCAGGTCTCCTGGAACAAGAGTGAGCCTTCCTCCTGGTTTGGTTTGCGAGCCGCCTTCCCAACACGGGTGGTTTTGCGTGGAATCTGCTACAGTGGTGTGACCCTCCGACTACAGCCACGACCGGTGAGCTGATGGAGGGACGGAGGCAGTCCGTCCTCGGTGCCAACCCCTGAGCACACAGTGACGACTGTGACGACAGGTGGCGGCTGACATCACAGCAAAAGCAGCCTCACCAAACGACGGGCGCGCTGCAGGGACTCCTACGGCCTCTGCAGTGACAAAGCTGCTTCAGCTCGCGTCTCGTGCATCCAGAGGCGTCAGTGATGACGACCGCAGCTGAAGCGGCTCCGAGAGGCCTCACCTGCCGTGCGGTGCGGGTGCGTAGCGTCAGCACTGCTGGGCAAGAAGAGCAAGCTGCCCCACAGGTGGAGGGGCCGCGGGAACGGGTGAGGCGGCAGGTGGATGGTGGTTGGCTGAAACGGAGGGACGCGCGGGGCCACTATGGCGACCAAGGGAGACACTGGAAAACACACACACAGCGCTCCTCAGGACAGGCGGCTGCCCCCGCACCCAGCGCCGCCGGCCCCCCATGCGGCCCTGGAAGGGACGCAGGACAGAGAGGGCACAGCACTGGAAGAAGAGAGGCCAGGTGGAGCCAGCTGCTGCCAGCAAGCAGGTGTCTCTTGGTTCCCCAAGAAGGGAGGTAGGAGGACAGTTCAGAGGCAACCAGAGAGAGCACGTGGTGGGTGCGGCCAGGAGAGGGTGGAGCAGGAAGTGTGTTGGAGAAGCCTGAGCGCCGGTCATGCACCCCCCCCCCTTCATGTCCGCCTGCTGCAGGCAGCTCTGGGAGGCCGAGTCCAACCCAGAGTATGGAGAGCTGGCAGCTGAGACTCGACAGGACAGCACGGACGGGAGTGGAGAAGCCCTGCGGAGGGGGGGCCCCGAGGTGGGTGTTCCTTGGGGTGGACTTCCAGTTCTGAGGACAGAAAGCCGTAGGTGTGGGTGACATAGGACCGGATGGCTTTTCTGATCTAACCGAACGTAGGTGAGAGCTGTCCCACCTGTAGCAAGCCACCGTCTGGGTTAAAAGTTTTAAAAAGCTGTTCCTGACCATGACAGGAATGAGACACTTGAGGGGTAACCGAAAGAGCTATGAACCTTCTCTGGAAAAGATGCACTCTCTCGGGCCGCACACTAGGACTTTCGCCCAGAGGCCGGAGCTGACCAAACCTGCAGTGTGCGAGGCTCGCACAGCCGGGCAGGCAGTGTCTGCTCACACTTGCTCTTTAGCCATTGACAGCATGAGAGCCTTTGCTTTCAAAAAGGTCCTAAGATGCTGCAAAACCAAAAAAAAAGCTCCAGGGGTGCAGGAGAAGAGCTGCGGAAACCCCACGTAGGTAGTGTGTTCTCCATCTTTTCTCAAAAAACACCCACATCACGAGCCTGCGCCCCACCCCCCAGATGGCCCTTCCCCCTCCGTTGCCCAGTTACGCCGAGCGGCAGGGACCAAACCCCAAGCTGCTCCCTCAGCCAGAGTCCAACACCCCCCAGAAAGGAACCACCTGCCACAGCGCCTCACGGCTACTGCCTCTTTGGCTGGACTGTCAACACCATTTTCTCAGAAAAGGCTTGGGCCCAGCCACGGGCAGTGCGGACAGATGCCTCAGCCTTGGAGACCACGGGATACCCGTCTCAAGAAGCCGGGAACACGGGCCTGAGGCAGACGGGCCCACTGAGTGTGTCGCTCCCCAGAAGAGCCCCTCCTTGAGGGGTTCCCCCAGACGGGGGTCCCGCCCAGCAGCCACGCTGCTCCTCTTAGAGCTCGGGGCTCGGACATGAACTAGTAGGCCAGACTCTTCCCATCAGGTGGAGACGAGCTTTGATCCCAAGCACAGTCTAAGGTCAGAGGTGCCTCCTGCTGAGGGTCCCAGCACCGAGGGGCAGCTGAGAAAGAGTGGGGGGTGAGGGGTCAGAGTGCGCGGTGAGCCAGACTCTCCCGCCTCCGCAGCAGAGGCCACCGTAAGGACTGAGGAGGCAGGCTGTAGAACTCGCAGCCCGGCAGAGGCGCTGTGCTGGTGGCCGGCCCGAGGCAGAGAAGGAGACTGCAGAGAGGGACACAGGTGAGGAGAGGAAAGGAGACCCATGTACCTTCTCTGCACCGAACTGGCGAGTTTCTCATCTTGATGGATCTGAGGGCCATTAAAGTCACAAAAGAAACAACTCAAGTCCCTCAATTGACAGGCTCTGTGTGAAACTGCTTCGGTGCAACACGAAGCTGCCCCTTCCCACCCTCACCTCCTGCAGGGACCCCTCCCCAGCACAGCTGGAGAGCACAGGGGGTCATCTCAGGCCATTGGCCTGCACAGCGTCCCTGGGGGCAGGCGCACTGGGCGGCTTAACAGGACCAAGAGGGCCGGTGTGAGTTCCTGCCTGTCCGTGGTGAGAGTTTGGGATTAGCTTCCTTTAAAGCAGTGAAGAAAACTCATTAATTTTACTTTCAAATTAGTCAATTGTCACTCCCACGAAATCTAAAAGTACTTCCCTTCCTCACTCATTCTGTGCGGCTCGCTGGCTAGAAAGGGCATGTAGTCGCGACCCCACACCCACGGCCAGAGTGGGGCGCTGCCCCCACCCAGGGAACCAGTACCTTTTCAGGTAGGTGGACACGTAGGTGGAAGGGGGGACCGTCTCTGGCGTCCCGTTCCCCTTGGCTTCGTCCCTCCGCAGCTGCCGGGTGTACGAGCCGCTCCTCACCAAGTTAGCAGCCGACTCTCTTTGAGGAGTGAAAGAAAACCATGCCAAACACGGGCCTCTACCTCGGGCCAGCACCCACCAACCTTGGGGGCGCCGAGGAGGTGGGCTGCATGCGGCTGAGGGGCAGGTGGGCTCCATGCCCGGGCCTGGCGCCCATTCCTGTGCAGGCAGAGCTCACTCGCTGAGCCGACCTCAGAGCCAGTTCACGGCCACAGGCGCTAGGCCCTGAGCCTTCCTGGGAGAGGGCACTCCTGCCCCCCCCACCGAAGCTCCGAAGCTCCGCAGCCCCCCTCAGCAGGAGGCAGGGAAGGGGCAATGGGGCGGAGTGGAAAGAGGCCAGAGGGGGACAAAGGCCTCCTGTGACCTTGTGAACCTCACAGACGAGAGGCTCCCAGGAAGAGCTGGGGCGGCATTTCTGAGACCGTCACCAGACAGATGGAGGCCCCAGGACAGTCCTCCCGGGACCCACACGGGCCCCTGGTCACCACGGGCGCTGCTGCGGTAACGGCTGCAGTTCAGCAGGTCTGGGAGGGGGCACCGAGAGCCCGCCTTTCTGACGGGGGCCTGGAGATACCCGGGAGGACTGCGGCCGAGAGCCAGGGGCCAGGTCGGGTTCCACTACAGGGCTCATGGATGCCTTTATTCAAACTGAGGAGGAGGAGGACTGAAACTTTATGTACTGACAGTTAGGAGCTGGTTGGGCCAATTACACAGCAACCCTGTCCGTGGCCGATTATTCTGGCCTGTGCTGGGCGTGAGAGACCTGGGAAGCTGCAGCCCCCGCTGCCCAGCAGCTGCCCTGAACAGGCCCACGGGGTCCGGTTACCTGTTCTCCTTCTCCTCAGTGTCGCGAGGGCTGCCGAGCCTCCGGGGTGCCAGCGAGCTAAAGTAGCTCCTGCCCTCTCTGTCCTGTGAGACCAAGACGGGTGAGGCCTGGGCAGCGGCCACACATGCAGGCTTCGGAGCAGAACACGTGCCCGCAGACCCTCACTTCCAGCCTCAGTCCTGATCCCGTGGGCACGTGGCTGCGAAGGGCTGGCTCTCACAGCCTCACGCCTGAGTTTCTGCCTCGAAGCAGGGAAAGTGAGTTTCTGCCACACAGGCAAACGGGCCTCCTGGGAAAAGCCAGGAGGCCCCACAGACGCAGCAGCGAGAGAGAACGGGCCGCCTGCCCCTCCCGAGCCTGAGGGACCACTGGGAGCGGACGCGCCTGCCGGTAAGTTGCTAGTGCTGTCGGCTGGCCCCAGCCCCGAATGAGCCGGCTGGACACTGACCCTCTTCCTCCCCGTGGCTCTGCCTGCCGGTTCCCTGTTCGCCGAGCGAACGACAGCACGGGAGCACCTGGACTGCACTCTCCGCACGCCCGTCTCCCAGGGTCCAATGAGGTCCAGGCAGCACCTGCGCTGGTGCCGACCGGCCCCCCCCAGCCCAACCCCGTACCCTGTCCCTGTTGTCCAGGAGGGCTGAGACTCGAGGGCTGGACGCTGAGCGGCAGAGGGTGGAGCCCCGGTCCCTCGCAGCTTCCCGGGCGTCGGCTGCTGTGCTCAGCGCGTTGTGGCTGCCGGTCTTTCTGAGGCCCAGGCGCCAGGAGGAGGGGGACTGGTCTCTGGGTTCCTGCAGCTGGTTGGAAGGGCCGCAGGGCTGCGGGGCGGAATCGAGCAGAGGGGACGGGCAGGGTGGGGCCTTCTGGCAGCCCCTCTGCCTCTGCGCGCCTCGGCCCGGCACGGCCACGCCGGCTCTCGGCTGCCTTGCCCACGAGCCTCAGAATCTCGCACAGCGGCCCTGACCACGCTGCCCTGGGGAAGCAGTCCCCTCATCCCTGAGCAGCCGGTGCCGAGCTCGGGCATGCGAGATGCGAGTCCTCGTCACACCTCTCTCGGCTGGCCTTGTCACTGAGAACAGGACCCTTGTCCAGGAATCCACAAGCTCATCTGGAGGATGGGGAGGGTGAGCCTATTCCCCGTCACACGCACAGGGAGCCCCGGAGCCCGTGTCCACCTATGTGTGAGGCACTGAGAGGAGCCTGGGGCCCGATCTGGTCACTCGTGCAGATCTGAAAGGCCCCGCGCCCCAGCCCCAGCCACACGTCAGGAACACCGCTATCTGAGCGTCGTTTCCTGAGAAACACGTCACCCTCGGGAAGTGAGCACAGGGAAGGCGCGCCCCGCCCTTTGTCACGTCGCTTCACCAGGAACCACGGAAAACAGCAGTGTCGGCACGGAGGCCGTCTGGGGCCCCTGGGGCCTGCAGGTGTCAGCTGCCGTCTCTGCCTGCCCCCGGTCCCGTCCCAGGCCACCTCCCAGGTGGGACGGTGACAGTGTGGCAGAGATGCAGAGGCCCGCGTCTCACGTCCCACTCATCTCCTCTCTTTGCTGCCATGGGCATGGACCGCTGCCGGCTCTGGAGGCTGGACTGAGGGGCGGATGCTCTTTGCGGCATCATTGCGGCCAAGCGGAGTAAGCGTAGGTGGGAGCTTGTACTTTTTAAATGTAGTGTTTTTCTTTAAAAGGCAGTCTGGTAACACCCTGAGCAGTGGAGGGGCCAAGGCCTCCCTGAGTGATGGGGCGGGGTGGCACCGTCACAGCCACGCCTCTGGGGGAAGCAGAGTACCGGGCGCCCCACCCTGGCACTGGGACCCCACCTTTCCAACCCAGAGGTCCCGGGCAGGCAGCACCCAGCCAGGCACAGAGCTTCTGGCGGCTGCACTTGGAGGACTCGGACCCTTCTCCGGCCCAGAGCCAGGTGCACTCAGTGGGCACGTCACCCTGCCCGGGCAGTGCTGCTGTCCCCTCCACGGGCTCCCTCCGCCTGGGCTCCCGACTCATGGTAAGACAGAGACTTGACTCAAGAAAGCGAAATTTAGGTGAGAAGTAAAAAAGGAAGAGCAGCCCTCCCAAGTCAGTGCGGGACGCTGAGTGCCTGCCAGCCCCACCCGAGCTTCTCGGAGACTTCCCTTCAGATGTGGGGAAAACGGGCCCCGGGCTTTTTTTTTTTGTCTCAGGCACTAAACACATCCTGTGTTATCTGAGTGCATTGTAGGCGAAGTCGTGTGGTGGCAGTTTTATGGCTTTTGAGGGCAGGACTCATGTCCTTCACACTCCCAGACCCAAGCGTTGAAGCCCTAACACCTATGCGACCACATCTGGAGATGAGGTGGTCACCCCTGAGCCAGAAAGGGGGTCCTCACCAGGAACGGCACCCGCTGGCCCTCTGAGCTTGGACCTCCTGCCTCCAGAGCCGGGAACTAGATTTCCACTGTTGAAAGTGCCTGCCTGCAGTGTCTGCAAGGACAGACTGAGCAAGCTCAGACAGGAAAGAATGTGTCTTTATCGTTTTGCAAGAACGTGTCCTTGAGGCCTTTCTAACTGTATGCTACTGCAGTGGGGAAACACAACATCCCAGTTAATTCCCAAACACTCACCTTCCGGGCTGAGGAGGCAGAGGTGTCCTGGGCTGGTGCTGGGACTGGCTCCTCCCCTGGACCCCTGCTCTCTGAGCTGGAGTGGTTGAGTGCAGCCTCTGGCCTTCGATCTGCCGTTTGAGACACAGGAAGCACAAGGGCACGGTGAGACATCTGCCTGTGTGTGCACACGCCTATGCTGACTCAGAGGTCTGCCCACTCCCCAGGCAGATGGGAGCGCATGCACTTGACCTCCAGCTGCCGGGAGAGGGAGACTCAGTGCTGTGACTGTCCCAGTGGCTTCAACTGCAACTCCCCTGCATGTAACTGACAAGGTCCTCCACATTATGTATCAAGTCCAAGTTCTTCAGGGGGTACATGGTAACACTCTCCTGTGGCCACAGCCAGTCCTTAAAATGGGCAGCGATGAGAAGGCCCGCTGGGGGCAAAGAAGGGGGCACTGACCGTTACACTGCAGGCGGGTGGAATGGGGAAGGTGGTCCCTGGGCTAGGAACAGGGCTGTGGCGTGATCCAAGGGGGTGGGGCGGGGAACGAGGGACGGCGGCAGGAGCACACCTCATGGCACTGCCTGCACTCAATGCACCGTGAACACAGAACAAGACGGATGTGCAGGGGTTTGGAGAGGCCCCAGCACTTTCAGGGCGAGCGGAGCCAGCTCGACAGAAACTCAGGTGTCAGTGAGTGGACGCCGCCTAACACTGCAGCTCAGCAGTGCTGACATCCTTGCTAGAGCTGCTGGCCCCCCACTTCCTGGGGCAACAGTTTTGAGCCCACAGAGACACGAGGAAAGACAGTGCTGTACCTTCATGGGGGAAACTGGGCAGTGAACCCAGACCTCAGAGGACCAGGGTCCAAAAAGCAGAAGGAGCTAATGCCTTAATCGTGGGCCCCACCATGGCCAAGTCCAGGGAACACAGATACCACCGTGAACTTGTGCCCAGCCCCCCATCTGCCCCCAACCCAGTCTCCTAGGTGGTGGCCACTGCAGGCCCCAACCAAGTGTCCGAGGTTGGAGCGGGCGCCCCTCGCACAGGGCTCCTTTGTGTGCCTTGCCCTGCGGCTGCAGGACAGCAGCTCCAGCTCGGCTCAGGGCTTTCACCACTGGGCTCTCGCTGGCTGCCTGCCGACTCGCCTCTGAACATAGAGCCCGCTCCATGAGCCTTCGAGGCCTCCTTAGCCTCGGCTCTCTGACCCAGGTGGGGGCGCACCTTGCACCTGAACACAGGGCCTGTGCACGCGGAGGGAGTGCCCGCATTACCTGCCTCCTTCTCAGCCTCAGACTCTGAGGCTTCATCTTCACCCTCCTCCTCCGAGCTGGAGCTGCTGGATTCCTTGTTTTCTTCCTCTGTTTCATGGGACTTGGGCGTCTCCTCTTCATTGAGCATCTTCTCTTTGCTAAGTTAAAGAGAGCAGCTTGAGCATCATGAAGAAAGGACAGCTGTCCCCTCGGTGCACTGACAGTCAGGTGCCAGGGGCACAAGGCTACGGGTCTGCATCCGAGTCCTCCTTGTCCCCTGCACCCCCGAGTCTGCCTCTGGAGACTGAGATGCACCACTGGGCTGCACAACATGACCGAAACAGCTCTCGTCTGTTCGGCACAGAACAGGGAGGGTCAGGAACCTCAGCGCTGGCTCAGCAGGTAAACAGAAATCACTCAACAACATCTGTGTCTGCTGTGACCCACTGGGACCCTGCTGGCTCGGGGTGGAGGGCCCTGAGCTCCTGGAATGTCCCACTGGGGAGGCAGCTGGGACTCAGGCCCCTAAAATCAGGGAACAGGAAGCACTGCACAAGGTCAATTTGTCCTTAAACTCCAAACACACCCCTCCGAGTCCCCCCACACATCAGCGCCCCTCCCTGCCCTTAAACGCTCCTACACATTTGAAGATCATTTGGCTAAAACAAAAGTCTTTAATCTCATAAATCCTCAGGCAAAGTGGGTCGCATACACACACCCCAAACGTCTTACTTCTTAAAGAGTCCACTCTGCAACCTGCTGCTCAGGTCTGATTCGATGAGCTTATTCCGTGTCTCTTTTTCACTCCGCAGCTGGAAAGTGAGACGGGTGGCACAGATCAGCAGACACGAGAACTCGAAAGGGCCCTGTCCTTCTGAGGAGCATGAGGCCAACACCGAAAGCAGGGCCAGAACTCAGGTTTGCACACATTCTTTTCCAGAGCCCCAGGGTAACTGCTCTTCTGTTGTTTTTAACCTCCAGCTGCCCGAAGGCTTGCGTCTAACGAGTGGACTTTACCAACCATGGCTCCTGGGACTTTCCTCCCCACTGGCCCTCCCCGAATGCAGACGTAACTGGAGCCCCTGGCAGAGTGGCCTGGGCGGGCCGAGGTGGTAGGACAGCTTCTCGGCCCGGCAGACTCACCACACTCTGCTTCTTCTGCAGCATCTCCAGGTGCTCCACGAGGCCCTCGTCGGCCACATCGAACGGGGTCTGGCCCTGGCGGATGGAGAGAGGGGCACCGTGGCCATGTGCCTCCATCAGAGCACTTGCCGGCCGGCATTCACTCTGCGCCCTGACTCCAGCCACAGCAGCTTCCCCAGTGTGCGGCTCCACACTTGGAGGAAGCCGTCCTCTATCTCCGAGAGACGGTGTGTCCTAGCGGGGGTCTGGCATTTCATGAAACAGCACCGAGAGACTGGCCATGCCGTTTGAGTGCCTGTGGCCCGTGGCTGATAACCTCGTGCCGTCTCCCCTGACCTGCAGCTCGATGGCCCTCATCATTATGGCAGATACGACAGGGCCTCGGGGGCTTCAGGAGGCCCAGGACACGTGTGCGCGTCACGCCTCGAACCCGGCTCTGCTAGGGAACACCTGCACAGGTAAGGACCTGGCTCAGCAGAGGCGGGAAGGAGGCAAAACACCACTGACCGAGGGCTGTGTCTCTGGACCCCCAGGAAACTCCCAGAGGTTCCGCGGACTCAAGGAAGCGAGCATAGTAACATGGCATCAAACAAACTCGAGGGTCCTTGTTATTTCAACGTTTTACAGTGACTGAATGTGAATGGAGCTCAGTCATTGCAAGTCTTTGAATTAAAAATAAAGCAAAGCCCTGGCTGGGTTTCCCAGTGGGTTGGAGCATCGTCCTGTAACCTGAAAGCTGTGGGTTTGTCCCCTGATCAGGGCACATGCCCAGGTTGCAGGTTCCATCCTGGGTCGTGGTGCACACGAGAGGCAGCTGGTCAACGTCTCTCTCCCTCTCTCTCTGACTCCCTCCCCCTTATCTCCCCTAAAATCAGTAAGCAGTCCTCAGGTAGGGGTTAAAAAAATCAAAAAAGTAAAACGAGCCCTGGCTGGTGTGGCTCAGTGGGCTGAGTGCTGGCCTGCAAACCAAAGAGTCCCTGGTTCAATCCCCAGTCAGGGCACAGGCCTGGGTTGTGGGCCAGGTCCCCAGTAGGGGGTGCACGAGAGGCAACCACACATTGGTGTTTTTCTCCCTCCCTTTCTCCCTAACCCCCCCCCAAATAAATAAAATCTTTTAAAAGAAAAGTAAAATGAAACCTTCCATGTCTCACCACAGACTGAGCCTTATGTCTTGCCAGTGCCCGCCTGGCCAGGGGCAGATGCCAGTGTGCTCTGCTCGTTTTTTGTTTAGGGGCTTCAGCGTCAGTGGGGCTGGAGGCCGGGTCAGGGTTGCCTCCCTCACACAGCCGACCCTCCGTGTGGCAAGCTTGTGGCGTGGGGAGCAGACCGCAGCTCCCCCGCCCAGGCTGCACCCCTGAGGGCCTGGACAAGGAGTCTCTGGGGCCGAGACCCCCAGTGCAGGCTCGTGGCCCTTGTGGGGGCCGGGCACACTCACCAGCTTGTTCCTGGCGTCCATGTTGCAGAGGGCCTCCGCCAGGATAGAGCACGCCTCCTTCACTCCCCAGTGCGCAGCGGCGTGCAGGGGCGTCCAGCCGTCGTGGTCCCGCACGTCCAGGTCGTAGCCGGCCTGGACCAACAGTCTGGGGAGAGAGCCCACCAGGGCCTTCGCAGCCTCTGTGTCTGTTTCCTGCCGAGACCCTGTCCCCTAACAAAGCCACAGCCTGGAGGTCCCCCTGCCCCTAAGGCCCATTCAGGGTCCTGTTACCACGCAGGGGCCAGTCTGCCCCCTGAAGGTGGCGTGGGGACCCCCCCAGGCAGAGCCGGGGCCCGCAGAGGTGCTGCGTGGGGTGTGCGCCTGGGTGTGAGTGGAGCCTGACTCAGCTGGCCACGGCCTGCACTCCAGGACGGTGTGCCCTGCTCTAGTGCAGGAGCACACGCCGCCTCCGGTGGGAACTCAGCTGAGGCCGCTTCCCAGACTGGCTTTCCGTGGGCCTCTCTGGGGCACCCCATGCTTCCAGGAGACCCCGGCCCTCCAGCCCTGCCTCAGAGTGTGCAGGGCTTCTTGCAGACCGCAGCTCTGAGCTGCCTGTGTCCGGAGGAGGGAGGGTCCTGCTCCCAAGGAGCTGCAGGGGGTCGGCCTGCACTGTGGGCCTGCAGACAGACGCGTCCCAGGAGGGAGTGAGTGTGACTGCCACGAGGCCAGGAGCCTGCTTGATGGGGCCCGACGCCCGCCAGCCTGGCAGAGCCGAGAGCCGTGTGCAGCCGCATAAACTCGAGGACGCGGAACAGGGGACAGCAGAACCCGAACCTGCCTATCCGTGCAGCCAGCCGACTCCGGCCAGACACGCCCACTCCACGTCCGAACTGCTGACCAACGAGCCCAGGGAACAAATGACCGTGATCTCTCCTGCAGAGCCCATCACAGCAGGGAGGCCACAGGGGCATTAATGCTGAATCCGGGGCTGCGGGAGGCCCCGTAAGGTCCCCTTCTCGGCCAGCCTGCCATTAGACTCACCAGTGAGGACCTGGAGGGACGGCCAGGCTGCGAGCTGCCTGGGAGGCACTGGCAAATGTGAGGGAAGGCTGCGTGGTCCAGGGGAAGCAGCCAAAGGAACGCGGCAGAAACCTCACCCCTGCTCCAAAGGCCCGGCTCACCCCGCACCCACCTCCCACCTGCTGGTCGGCGTGGCTGACACACCTGAGGACCTCGGAGTAGCCCTTGGCGGCAGCCACGTGCAGTGCGGTGGCCCCCGAGCGAGCCTGCCTGGTGTCCTGGATCCTCCCGCTGTTGAGCCACTGCCTGGAGTCCTGCAGCATCTGCTGCTCCTCCTCCTTCCGCGCCTGCTCCAGGTCGACCCCTGCAGGGGCCACAGGCAGCCACAGCGTCACCACGGCCCCTCCCACCTCAGGCTGGAAAGGTGCGCAGTTGCCAGCCAAGAGCCACCTGCCCTCGTCTACAGAGCAGTGCCATTTACAGACGCCAGTCGGACCCCATCGCCGTGCCAGGAACGCTGTGTGACGGCAGACCCGTCAGGGGCCCCACCCAAAGCAGCTTTCCGTTCTGAGAACAAGGACCCAGGGGCTGTTATCTTTACATTATGATCTTTGTTCAGAGCTGTCCCCTTCAAAGTCCCCTTCCATGTCACAGCATTTGCCCCTTGGAGGTGAAAATGGGCACCATGCCCCCAGGGAACAGACGGGGAAGAACACAGAAGGGCCACAGAGCATGTCCTCGCTGGCGCCAGGGTTCTGAGAGCCCAGGTCTGCCCGGGGCAGCAACGCCGCAGCCCCGTCGGACACAAGGCCACACGCAGGAAGGCAGGAGGAGCCTGGCACAGAGGTTGGCAGATTTCTGTAAGTGCCAGAAATGAAGTCTCTCCAGCTTTGGATAATCAGCAAACATGGGGACGTGCCCAGAACCGCCCCCTCCCACCAGCCCACACCAGGAAAAGCCACTGCAGCCACACTCTCGGGTGAGCACGACTGTGGGTGAGGTGGGCAGACAGCAGACTAAACGTCACGACTGCCGACATCCCCTCCTGGCAGGTGTCCCTGCTGTCTGTGAGGGGCAGCCGTCTGGGGTCAATGGCGGCTCCCCACGCTGCCACTGCGGGGTCCCTCTCGGGGCTGAGGATTACCTTGCTTCTTCACTTGCTCCAGAAGAAGGTCCTTCATGGCAGGCTCTTCCGCAAGGTCGGAGGGCACCTCGCCTTCGCTGTTGACAACACCCACACTGGCTCCGTGGTTAAGGAAGTACCTGCGCAGATGGGACGAGAGACAACACTGTCAGTCACTCCGACACATTTGCACGCACACACCTGAGACTGAGGCAGAGCAAGGCCAGGCTACAGAATGATGCTCCCGTGCACCGGCAAATTTCCTTAAAGTCACAGAGGCAGCAAGTGGCAGAGGTCACAGGCCTGGTCTTCTGATTTTACATCTAGCTCATCTCTTCACAAGATCAGGTTTCTCTGGGGCCAGTGAGAGTCCCAGTAGCGCTGGGAGCTCCATCAGGTGCTCAGAAGTCTTTAAAGCAGAAGAAACTCCTGCAGTCAGGCGTCAGCCCATTCCCAAGTCGGTAAACATGCACTGGCCCCTGCAAGCTCAAGGGGCCGCATTTTAAACACTGTAGACTTTGTTTAGTTTTTATTTTTTAAATATTTAATTTATTTAGCCCTGGCTGGTGTAGCTCTGTGGATTGAGCGCGGGCCTGCGAACCACACAATCGCGGTTCGATTCCCAGTCAGGGCACATGCCTGGGTTGCAGGCCAGTTCCCAGCAGGGGACTCATGAGAGGCAACCATACATTGATATTTCTCTCCCTCTCTCCTTCCCTTCCTCTCTAAAGATAAATAAATAAAACCTTAAAAAAAAAGATTTTATTTATTTTTAGAAAGGGGAAGGTAGGAAGAAAGTGAGGGAGAGAAACATTAGTGTGTGGTTGCCTCTGCGCACCCCCTACTTGGGGACCTGGGCTGCAACCCAGGCATGTGCCCCGACTGGGAATCAAACCAGTGACCCTTTGGTTCGCAGGCTGGAGCTCAATCCACTGAACCACACCAGCCAGGGCAGAGATTTTAAAAAGACAAGGCCCCTGGACCCAAAGCGTTGACGGGGGAGAAAGAACAGGCAGAGATGAGACAAGAGACTTCGCTGTGCTTTCTCGGGGGTCAGGTGGGCGCAGATCGATCTGATCTGATGCAGATCGGCAGCCCGTGTGGCCTCGCTCCTGGAGCCTGGGACCTCTCGGTCCAAGCTAGCCCCCCATGGACGCTCCTGCGGTGCCTGGCATCCCTGGTGCCGGCCCTGCACTCCCACACACCATGGCTCCTCCTCTTCATCCCCAGGGCCCCTCAGCCACGCCTCCCCCTCCCCAGAAAACAAATGCGCCCACGGTGTGCCCAGTAGGCACTCAGCAAACACTTCCAGCTGACTGCACCCCGCACTCTGCTAAACTGAGCCCCTTCCTGCTCCGGAACACACCCGGCCAGCAGCAGCTCGGGCCTGCCGTGACAGACCGTGACAGACCGTGACAGACCGTGACAGACCGCGACAGACTGCAACTGCGGGGCCTCCCTCCCCACAGCCACTGCCGTGCGCCCGACACTCCTTTCCTCTCGGCCTCCAGAGTGTGGCCTGAACGACACAGGCTGACCTCTGCTCGGCGTCCTCCCCCATCCCTGGGGGGTCGGGCTCACGGCACTCGGACCCTGCTTTTGCCTCTTCTGACCTGTTTTGAGGCCCATGGCCCAGAAGACTTGTTTCTAGAAAGTGCTCTGGACTGCCGTGAGCCAGAACTCAGAGAGAGATTACTGTTAGGTATGGTTACCTTCCTGAACCATTCTTAGAGAAAAAGTAAAAACCTCTCTAGTTTCACACTTTTCCCTGAACGAGAATGACAACGAACCTACAAAATACTCACCGCTCCCTCAGAACCTGTGCAGTTGCCCAGAGGCTGGGAGACCCATGAGCTCAGTCACTGCCTCCCTCAGAAAGCACAGACTGCTGTCCCACCACCTCCTCAGCCACAGGTGGCCTCTGAGCTGCTCTTCGGAGGGAGGGAGGGAGGGAGGGAGGGAGGGAGGGGGTGCAATGTGCCAGCAGATGGAGGACCACCCTGACAACAACAAAAACCCTACGGACTTAGCAGCTAACAGTATCAATTACTCCTTAAAAATAAGCCCGCTCCCTGCTTTTGTAATTTTCAACAGACAGCGATGTAACTACTCACAAGACCCGAGATCAGAGCGGGAGAGACTCACTCACTCTGCGATGTTGAGATAGCCGCAGGAGGCCGCCGCGTGGAGGGGCGTCCAGCCCTCGTTGTCCTGCTGGTCCACGTTGGCCCCGCTCTCCACCAGGAACTTCACCATGTCGAAGTTCTCGTCGATGCAGGCCTGCAGAGAGACGCCGTCACCACCCCGTGAGCCCTCGCTGAGCCCAGCTGCCCGCGGCCCCGATGACACTCATCTCTGATTCTCGAGTGCGGGTATCCAGAGCGGGGTCCCACAGCCCCATGGTCCCAAGTTGTCTCCCTGCCTCACAACCTCAGGACAAACAGGCAGGAGGACACTTGGCCTTACTGATGCCACTAGCGGGATAGACTGGACAGAGGGCTGTGGCCCGCTGTGAGTGGGCAGGCTGCCGCATCGCGGCTCTACAGAAAGTGAACCTACGACCCACGGGCTCGCTTCTGGACAGCAGGGCCACATGCGCAGGGACAAGGTGAGCGCTTCAGACACAAGAAGCAGACCTTTCTCGTGTACTTTTTTTTCAAAAGGTTTTATTATTTTATTTTTACAGACAGGGGAGAGGAGCAAGAAAGAGTGGGAGAGAAACATCAATGTGTGGTTGCCTCCCAAGCGCCCCCTACTGGGGACCTGGCCTGCAACCCAGGCCTGTGCCCTGGCTGGGAATCGAACCAGTGACCCTTTGGTTTTCAGGCCGGCACTCAGTCCATGGAGCCACTCCAGCTGGGGCTCACACTTATTTTCTGACTGGCCTCAAACAGCACGACGAAGTTTATTTGTGGTTATGGGCAGTTAGGGACCCACTGCTGCCCGTCTCCGAACAGCAGGGGACAGACAGCTTTCTGGCCAGAGACCTCGGTAACCAGGCTGTTGTACCACGTCCGCAGACCAAAGAGGAGGAGACGCTGTGCCAGTAAAGGCCGTCTGTCCTCAACCAGCCTCGGGTTGGTCGCATCCAGATCAAACTGACTTCCACGGCAGCAGCAAGCCTGTGGCCCTTCCACTGACCGCGGGCACCCAAGCGAGAACCACGGGTGCTCCTGCCCCAGAGCCAGCACCACCCGCCGAAACAGCAGAGGCCACTGACTCGATCAGCCCTCAGCCCTTGGCAGTGGCCGGGTGGGGAGGACGCACAGCGCCTGGGCTGCACGCCGCCGCAGCGTGACCCTGTCTCTGAGGAAAAGCGCGGGTGCCTCCGACTTGCAAGAGGGACCAGCCACTCCCTTCGTGGAGCCTCGGTGTCACTCCAACGACCAGCTGACAAGTCACGCTCGAGACCTGGAAGGGGACGCAGCCCGCCCGCCCGCCTGCCAGTGGAAAGAAAACAGCCAGTGTTTCCACCACTCGGATTTGTGACACAGCCACCACCGCGAGCGTGGTGCCCTCCCCGCCACAGTGCTAGGAAGACGCGCAGGGGAGCGACTCATGCAGAGTGCGGGTCAGCGCTCCACGCCGCAGCAGCGTTACCGAGCGCGGACGGCCCGACAGGGCTCCCACCCACCTGCCGCTGCTGCAGGCTCTGTGGTCTGGCCGCCTGCCGAGAGGGCGTCCACAACCGCCCGGGCAGCTGTTTCATACGCCTCCCTTTTCCAGATATGTACCTGTGTGAGCCCAGATTTCCTTTACAGACTTCAGTCGAAACCCCTATGGAACCAATTGAATCCAGACATTAAAAGGGACTTGTAAAAACATAAAGCCAACTACTCTTCTCATTACTTTTTGTGTGTGAAAGGACTGGGCTGGCCAAGAAGTCCGTTACGTTTTTCCCCATGACGGCTCTAGTGGTGCGTAGTTGTCTTTAACTTCATTTGAAACAAGTTGCTTACCTTGTATTGTGACAGCTGTCCTATCAGTGTGCATCTTAAAAAAAAACTTAACAAAACAGGTGAATTTTTGTGCAGCCATTTTAATATTAAAGATGGAAAAAAATATGCAACATTTTGGCACATTATGGTTTATTATTTCAAGAAAGGTAACAATGCAACTAAAATGCAAAAAAAGATTTGTGCCGTGTGTGGAGAAGGTGCTGTGACTGGCTGAACGCGTCAGAAGTGGGTTGCGAAGTTTCTTGGTACTATTGACATTTTGGCCACGTGTCCTTTGCTGTGGGGCTGTCTCAGGCATTGGAAGATGTTTAGCAGCTCCCCGGCCTCTGCCCACTAGCAGCCAATAGCAGGAGAGAGCCGACATACTCAGAATATCCCAATCAATGAAGTTATTTGTGAAAATGAAAAATGTGTCTTTTAGGGAAAAAAACTAAACAGGCTTTTTGGCCAGCACAATATATAACTACTTCAATTAACACAGGTGATTTATATCAGCCTGCAATAGGTTATTCCTATTTTAAATGACTTAGTAAGTACATGTTTCTGGATGTCTCAGTAACATATAATAACCCAGAGGAACAGAAACCCTCCGAGGTTCTGAACAGAGTTTGAGAGTGTGGGCAGTGCACAGCTGGAGAACTGCTGTGCTCCGCCAGCCCTGCCACCAGGCCCGTTTCGGTGATGCCAAGTACTGTTCAGCAGGCAGCAGTCACTGCGGGAAGACCGGGAACTGCGCCAGCAGGACACTGTACCGGAGTTTTTCCAGGGGCCGTATGGCCACCCACCCCGAGATGAGCCGCACGTCTGTCTGTCCGCCCAGCACCAGGGCACAAACAAAAACAGGCTGACCCAATTTATATGAACACGTGACCTGGTCACCCCGGTCACGCCCAGCACCTTTGCTAGTCTCTCTCACACATTCTGATAACCCGACAACTAGTGAGGTCACCGAACACACCGGCCCAGACTGGGTTCCGTGGTAACACATCCCTCCCAGGCCGCATCTGCTCCAGGAGGCTCCGCAGGCTTTCCAGCCGTGACGAGCGCTGTCCGCTTGCTCTGCACTCCTTCACGTGCAGCACTTCGGAACTGCGCTCGTTGCCACGTCCCTCGTAAACGGCACATCTGCCACGGGGCAGCGCTGAGACCAGCCGCTGCCGAGTGCCTCAAGGACACCTGTCCAGGAAGACTTTCAAGTGAAGGGATGAGGGGCTACTTTTCAAAAAGGCGCTGAAGACCAAGGGGAAGAAAGTGTCCCGGAGGTCAAGCACAGGCCACCTAGGTCCCGAGAAGGCCCGTGTCACGAGGGCCCGCTGTGCTGTCGGAACGGGGCCGCCCACCGGGCCTCTCACCTGGCTGCCCCGTTTCCCTGGCTCTGAGAGAACAGTCTCGAGACTCAGCTGCAGTGGCCTTGCCCCCACCAGGCGACCTTTTGGAAGCCACTGTTTCCAAGACCCTTCGCTGCCCTTGGAAGGTGACAGCAGACAAGGGCCAAAGGGCCTCAAACAAGCCTGGCTGGTGTGGCGTCTGCCTTAGAGCAGCCGTCCTCCCCCATCCCTCAGACTCCTCCCCCTTTCCTGTCTCAGGCTCCTCCCCCATCAGGACTTGGGCCCTCCTCCCTCTTGGTTTCAGGGCCTTGTTGAAGCATTCTTACACAAGTTTCAGAGAACAGCCACAAGCTGGCCTGATGTGCACGGAGATCTGGCAGGGTCCCTCCACAGTCACCTCAGTGACAGTAGGGCAGGCTGATTATTAAACTGTCCCCAGGGGCTCAAACACAGGGCTGGCATGGGTCAGGGCCGGCCCGGCTCTGCCACGTGCTGACTCTGGGTGAGGTGGGGACAGAGGTGTCACCAGCCTCCCGGGACTGTAAGGGGCGAGAAGAGACAGTGCGGTGGCTGGCACCACCACTGTTTTCAAGCCAACAGTCCAGCGAATGGTGCCTGCCCCTGCCGCCCCCACTCAGAGCCCATGCACGGCAGGGAGGCAGCAGGTCAAAAGTGCCTCTGACCTGGTAAGACCGCGGGGCAAGCTGCAGCTGACTTCAGAGCTTCCCCGAGGTCCAGTGTCCTGCGGGACCCTAAGTGTGGGAGCTCCAAGGGCGAACCAGCAGGTGCGGGGACTAAGCTGAGAGCGAGCCGCTGCTGGAGAGCCCTGCCAACAGAGACGTCCTGGAGTGACGGCTCTGTCCTTCCTTCCTCTGCCTCTGTGGTTCCAGCGGAAGGAACGTGGCTGAGGCTGTGGAGGAGGACAGAGAGGCCCTGAGAGCCTCCTCAGTGAGTGGCTCACGCCACCCGCGGCTGTGCTGCCTCGCCCGAGACCGCAGCACGGTGGGCACCCAGATCGTCCACACCGCAGCGTCCAGGTGCATGGATCCCGGTGCCTGTCTCCACGTGAGCTGCACTGGCCACCAGGTGGATGGGTCTTTCCTGCGCCTGAACAGGCAAAGGAGGCTGAACAAGGTCCCGACACTGCTCAGGACAAGAGTGGGACAGCGCTCCGCACTCTGAGCCCAGCTCCCCCGGCTGCGGTCCATGTCCGCCTCCTGGAGACACACAGAGTTTCGCTACAGAAGCAATTTGTGTGAAGCTCCTTAAGAAAAAGAAATGGCGTTTCATCACTACTTGATGAGTTGTTAGTCCAACGAGCCATCAGAAATGTCACCCGGTGACGGTTTGCAGCTTCCTAAGGTGGGAGTGTCACGCTTCCCTGGCAACGGAAAGCTCTCTCCAAGGAAACGACTGGATCCCACCAAACCCCGGGGAGGCGGGTGAGCTCACTCGGGGACTGCAGTGAGGCCTCACAGCACAGAGCCTCCTCCGGTCCCAAAATAGCCTGCAACTGTCACCGCCACCAAGTGCCGCTGGCTCCAGGGGCTGACCTTGCTGCCTGCTGCGACTCCTTCCGCACAAAGCCCAGCTCCAGGGCCCAGGGTGGGCGACACACCTGCCTGCCTGGGCGTTGCAGCCCACACCTGCCCAGATTCCCAGGGACCTCGCCGACACAGGTGCCGGCCGGGTGCCGCCTATGCTCAGAGCCACCCCCAGCCCACACCTGCCACTGTCCGGTCCTGCATCCTCCCCAAAGCCACATGGCTCAACAACAGTGACAACTCATACAGGATCTGCAACTTGGGATTTGCACATTCCCCCAAACTACACACTTCCAACTTTGCATTGAAAACCCTGTACGCTCGCAAAGACCGTGATTTCTCCAATTTACCAGCCATACGCCAAATTCCTGCGGCACCTAAGGACTTCTCGAGTGGCCACCATGCGCCCTTTGGTGCAGCCCGAACCCTGGAGCGGCACTGGGCACACG